CACGCGCTATAAATCACAGTGATTCACACACTTTACTTACGGTGCCTACTGTTCGCTTGACTCAATTATCCTTTGCCAGGCTTATATATACTAAAAAAAGAGGGCATCTAGATCACACTCGAGCTGACGGGCAAATTCAAGATCCTTCGAGAAACTCCAACGCGCATGCTCTCAGCGTCGCGTGACTTCCGCTGTCGTAACAGTATATTTTGAATAGCTGTGGGAGAAATAATTTGACCGAATTTAATATTGAACTATTCAATGAGATCCGATAGAATATTAATTTTGCAATAAATCGGACAATTAGATAGCATTTCAAACAACAGATTACCTCACAATGTTACGAGGATTTACCTACGCCCCCTGAACTTCTCCATTCCCCCCTAGTTGTCAACTAGTTACACGCAGTGCTGCCAATTTAGTTTTTCCAATCAGGTTTAGTTGTTTTAGAAGTTTTTAAACACTTCATTTAGTTGTTCAGTGGAAGTTTACTAGTATAATACAGTTTGACACTTTGCTAATTTTTTGAGACAGTACTGACAATTACGTACGGAAGTTATTTACCTAGTAAAGTGGTCGTGAAACATTATTCAGTTTTTAAAAGAGGGCCTACAGCCCACCTTCGATTTTACGGTTTCACCCCCTACCCCTGAAAAATTTAACACTCCCTCTAATGCAATTCCTGAGGAAAACACTGGTCACACATAATAGATATTACATCCTTTTGCCTATTGGTGCTTTTTATTAGTTTCTAAACGTAGTAACATTTCCCCCACTATTGAAGAAAGAAAGCTCTGGTCGTCATAATATAGATAGATGTTAGGGTAGCTTAAATGTAAATCACGCCTATCCGTTATATAACACGAGTGGGGCAAATGGAAATTGCGTAATTTCCATACATCCCACTCAAATCTCTCCCATGATTTATTAATTAGTTTTAGTAATTAGTTCAGTAATATACTATAATTAACAGGCAGTTTATGCTTGCGGCGCATTTTCAGTATGTGCAGCCACATCCATTTGATCCGAAAATATCCAAATCCGATTGTTATACAGAGGACACGCTGCTCTTAGCTTCTGCTAAGTATTATATTTCTTTTTGTTTTGTTTTCATAATTTATTATTTTTTTAGATTATCAATAAAGGTAAGTGTGACATAAACAATGACTTATTGCTAACACTATTCATTAAATTTAGTTTGCATTTTTCGTAAATAAATTGAAACTTATTAAACTATGCACATAAAACCTAACTACGCTTTAATTTATCTTAGAAGAAAGATTCACTGCTTAGTTAAAGATATGTTGATAATTTGTAACTATGTTTATGTTTTACCTTCAGGAACCCGCGGTTTAACTGCCGAAGTAATGACATCCCTCACCTTGATATTTCCAAATGGGCCGACGTCAGCCATTACGGAAAGAAGTAGGCTTAGCTTTTAATCAAAATATATTTTAAGTCATAAAAAATTAGTTCATTACTTTGGAATCTTAATTCACAAAAGTGGACAAGTCAACATTTCAAATTCGATGTTATGGTGCAAAACGTCTAAAGCATAAGCTGGCGAGTCAAGGAAGATTATTAGGCCTAATGGAAATTTAAAATTATTACAATCGCAGTAGCTTGCTTCAGTACAGTCTTCATTGGGAATTCCTGCTTAATTTATTCTATAAATCAGAATGACGAAACGATGTGTGTTGAATGTCATCATTACGAATCCCAAAATAGTATTTTATCTAAACTTAATTTACATTTATTTTGACAAGCAGAAACGCCGCCCCACGGGCGGCTCTTTGTGCTAGTAACTATTAATCGTAGTAGTCATACCTCATTGAAAAATAAACTGTAAAAAAAAGTGAACATTTTCTTAAAAAAAGGATTGTTTTTTTCTAGGAAGTACTGCATGGAAAAGTGTTCGTATTTTACTCTTTAGTCCTACGCAATTCATTGTATCAAAATGATTCAATATAAAGAGCTCAAAATTTTCATAAATTTTACTGATATAAACTGTAATGTTTTAATATATTAAAAGTGCTACCAATTATTGAAAAAATAATATTTTTTAAGAACTCTAGTTTTTTAGTACGGCATTTAAAAATTACATCAATAAAGATTGAATCAAACCCTCACGTAGTCCTAGTGAAAGTGGTGTTCTTGTTGTGAGGAGAGACTGAAGAGTACTTCTATTTAAAATTGTGTTCTGTTATAAAGAATCGGTTATTGCACATACCTTAGTTATTTTTTCAACTGTCTGAATCATGAATACCCAAAGTGTGAAATTTGTTATGAATTTTTTAATGTGATGCCATTCAATAGATAGCGCCACATTTCATAAGCGTCAATCACCATTTCTGGCATTGAGATCTTGTATTTCAACACGACATCGTATTTATTTCGTTCATATACTTAGTTAGATATATAAATAGCCACACCATTGTTCCATTATAGTAAGATCACAAGTTTTCAATAAACATTTTGCGAAAATACTACTGTTTTAAAGAATAATCTTCAAGCATATACCAAAATAACTATATGAATTAGAACTAAAATTTGAGATACTTTGAAAATGTGTTTGAAAGGCAATTATTAAATTTTCAAACTGTTTCAAAAGTATTATACAAGTTTGTCAAATAACTGAATTTCTCCCCATTTTCTGCTTCCCGGTGGCTCAGCAGTAAACCTTGGAGTATATATCGCTAAAAATTGGGTTTCGATATATAAGCAGAACACAAATAGCCCATTGCATAGCTCTTTGCTTAACAGAAACCTTTTTTTTTTCAAATGTAAAAAGTATTTTTCTGCTTTATACCAGAAATAAAATTGAAAATAAGCCTACTAATTTACTAATTTTCATTGAAAGGTACAAAGTAATGTTTTAATTTTTATTTTTTATTTTTTTTAGATTTGCAAATGAAGTGGCAATTTATGTTAAATAATTTGAAGTATAGTGATGAACTATACTTTAGTAATATAAAGATCCCAAAAATTACTAGTGTTTAAATGGGATGAAATTTCCGTATCTATTTATAACAGAAGTGTGAATGCAGATTGTGTACAATATTTTAAATATATGCAGTATCTTCATTATATTTCGAACTAATTATTTAAGTATTGTTGAATTTGTCACTAGATGGTACTAGTAGTAGCTGATGAAAAACATTTTCAACGTTAGATTGATTATTTTAGTCTTGCATTTAAATTCTAAATTTTTTCGTTAATTTTGAAAGGATGTGTTAACATATGCATTGTGAAAAGTTATAAGAGGTTTTATAATTGAAAATCAAGGTTGTAGAGTAGCAGGTCAAGTTTGTTGCTATATTTGCGCAATTGCAAACGAAACAGATTAATATAAAACAGTATTATTACTTGAGAGAGAAGGTCTAAATACAGTCCATTAATATCTTTCAAGAGCCCAGCATTGTTGTGTAACTTTCAAAAAACAGCAAGCACTTCAAGTAAAAGATTCATTGTTAGAAATTAAGTTCATAATTAGATTTTGTCTATGCTTGTAAAGGTATGCCAATTTGATAAATATTACTCTTTTTTTTTCTCTCTCTCTCTCTGTAATAGTTTTAATATCTTGGGTAAATGTTCTTTCATCTATTTCGAGAGGGGACGACGAGGATAAACTCTTTTAATTCCCAATATATATATATACATAATTATTATATCATTAATTTGCGAATTTTCTTGCCTTTTATTGAGATCATTAATGAAAACTATACAAATATGAATTAAAATAAGTAGTAGAGTTGACATTATGGTCTCATAACAAGATTGGGCATCTTATGTTTATATTTTAAGGATATAAAGCATAAATATGAACTTCAAAGTTATTTTACCTTATGGCATTGTTCCTATTCGTTGGAGATTTTCAAGTCAATAACAGTCTGAGATTTACTTAATCAAGCATGTTAGCACTGCAATCCTTAAACGATTTTATGCATTTGTTTTTAAGGCGAGAGTAAAGTATTTGATAAATTCCATAATTTTGTTTTACTCTGAAAAAAAAAAGACGTATTCTTGCAAAACTAAAACGATGAGATATTTTATAAAACAATGTAATCATCGTTTTGTGGAATTAAGTTGTTACAAATATAAATATTCTAGCTTCAGTCTTCACTTCTGTTATATACACGCGAACAAAGAAGCAAGTTGCAAACGTTCAATGAAATACTTAAAAATTCCGTCCTGTTAGATTGAAACATAATTCAAATTAATAATAATAAGCAGTATAAAATCATTTTCTAAATTATGAAAGCTTGCATTTATTATTAATATATTTTTAACAGTATATATATTTTTATGTTTGCTTTTTCATATCACTTGGGTTTGTAACTTTTTACTCTATATAATGGTTTAAGTAAGTGACAGTGTCTCCAGTTTAAAAAATGTATATATAATCCGAATAAAATGTATTTATCATACTTCGAAAATACTCAATCTTGTTAAGTTTAAGCTTTGATGTTAGATAAGATTAATTTTCAATGCGTTGAACACTATAGTTTCATTATATCTTATGGATATACATGGCGCCTAAGCTATATAGCTACGACCCCTTAATTCAATAATGAGTACGATATTAAGTATGAATACAACTATTATCTATCTTATTGTGATGCAATATTACATATATTACAAACCAACAGCTTTGCTAGCTTAGAGTATACAATGTAAGTCGGTATGATATAGCCCAACTCGTATGATGAGCATCTGGTATTGAGCGAAAAGCCTCGTTGGTAGGGACGTACAACAGTTAAGGTGTATTTGAAATGCTATGGTATTATATACTTTTCTTACTGGAAACCTACAATGGAAAAAGGATTCATTAAAAATACTGTCAGTGTTATTGTGATGTAATGTCATACCTATTGATAACTAGAATATTAACGTATAAGGTTATTACGTAAATTTTTACGACGTAGAGATTTAATATAAACTGTGTTTGTATATATATATATATGTGTGTGTATGTGTGTTTGAATTATTTATTATTTTGTTAGCACGTACTTGTCATATATTAGAAAGAAAACTAGCTTTAAGAAGGTTCCAATTTCCCCAAAAATAGCATTCATTATAACTGTTACTTGTGATTTCAGCCACAACTAGGTAACATGATCTTGAATAAAATGTGAATATATTTTTCAAAGTTTTTTCTTACATATTTTTTCATGTTCTGCAACATTAAATTGGAAAAAAAGAGGAAAAAACTCGTATTACAAAAAAAAAACTATAAATAGATACTTTAATGTTCACAACTTTTTGGGCCGGGAAACCCTTCCTCTGGTGATTTTAAATTTTGATGGAACATAATGTTTGATATTACAAGAACTATCAAACAAAGAACTTTCGAAATGAACATCATTCAACGGGTCTAAGGAAGTATACAAGTGACTCAAGCAAATCTGTGTCAAGATACGAATAACAAAACAGTAGTTACATTCTTTTCTTGTGTTGTTACTATATCTGTCATATATTCCCCATTTTCTTGTAATGTAATATGAATTATTTTCTCCTTTTGTATTATCAACCTTTTTGTGAATATTTACCTCTATTTGTAATAACTAGTAGAAACGCCGCCTTAGGTGCGGCTGTAAGCGCCCTACGAGCGACTGTTTGTGCTAGTAATTTGTAATTGTCTGAATCATGAACACCCAAAGTGTGGAATTTTTTATGAATTTTTGTTTGTGATGCCATTCAATAGATAGCGCCACATTCCATAAGCCTCAGTCACCACTTCTGGCATTGAGATCTTGTTGTATTTCAGCACTACAGATGGCACCATTGTATTTATTATTTCGGTCACATAGATAGATAGATAGATATACGGCCACGCCATTGCAGTAAAGATTTTCCTTCTTGTCTCTGGATTTTCTCTGTCTTTCTGTGGTTGTTATATATATATATATATATATATATATATACACCACATTTTCTTTTGTTTCCATTTTTCTTCACTTCTTGTCTCTTCCATTCTACATAAATCATTCCAATATTTTATCAGTGCTTCAAACATCTCTTCTACGTTCTTTCATTAAATAAATTCCAACTTTTCGAGTCGATTTCCGCGAACTTCATCTTTTGGTTTTCCTTTCTAATTTCGATCCTCTACTTTTCCATTTTTAATCTTGTTCTCACTTTGTTTTATTCATTTGAGATAGCTTCATTAATTGTTTTACGGAATTTGAGAGGTATTAATGGGGGATCCTCTTTAATTGCGTTTTTCCATAATTTACTTCATTTTTCAGGTTTCAAGTCTTCTCTTGAATACCGACTTGCTTTATCAAAAATATTTTATAGTACTGTTTAAATCACACAGAATCCCGTCGGATTCTTTATATTTTGGCCAGGTGGTTAGGGCGCTCGACTCGCAATCTGAGGGTAGCGGGTTCGAATCCCCGTCACACCAAACATGCTCGCCCTTTCAGCCATGGGGGGCGTTATAATGTGACGGTCAATCCCACTATTCGTTGGTAAAAGAGTAGCCGAAGAGTTGGCGGTGGGCGGTGATGACTAGCTGCCTTCCCTCTAGTCTTACACTGCTAAATTAGGGACGGCTAGCGCAGATAGCCCTCGTGTAGCTTTGCGCGAAATTAAAAAAAAACAAAACAAACCTTTATATTTTACTCTTTCCTGGAGACCATAAATTCTTTCAGAGAATCTGTTTTTTGTCTCAGTCCCTTCCACTAAAACCTTTAATACTTGTTGTTGTTGGTTATAACTTTTTGTGATGCATTCCATAACTTCTTTGCATCCATTTATTAAGAGTTCTACTTAATTTCGCTAAGAAATCCTCAAACATTTTTTCCCACTTTTGTAATTTAATCCTTAAAGTTATTTTTTTTATTTGCTTTTTGATTTTTAAATCTGATCTAACTTTCAAGCGTTATTTGGAATAAACCAATAGGTATTATAGGTGTAACCAAAACATCAATAAGGTTCACCTGTGGGTACGAATAAGAATAAACTTTCAACTGTTTATACAAAAAAGAAAGATGATGTATCTTGCCTACCTTGTATTTAAACCAAACAGGAAAACTATTTCTAAATATATGGACTGCCAAATCGCTTACATACGTTTTAACAACACTTGTAACCATCTTTCTTCATTGAAAGATAATTTAACAACTTGGGATGAAAACAGAATTTATAAAATAAAGTGTAAATGCAACAAAGTCTATACGGTCGGACAATTCGTAAACTAAAATGTTGTTTGAATGAACGCATATGTAAAAAAAAAAACACTTTATTACGTGCAGCAGAGCACTGACAGGTAGGAGCGCGAGTTGGTACCTTTGAAGGCAAGAATAGATTGATTTTTTTAGGAGAGGCGCAGAATTTATCCTAAAGAATGAGACAGAATAATTTGTTTTATGGGTAAATATACTGAACTGTCGCTGGAAATAAATGACCCAGAGATTTTTTTTTAAATAAAGAAGATTCAGGAATTTCAGTCATCCTGTTGTACTTGGATTAACGTATGGTAAACTTGGAAGTATTTATGTTGAATATTTTACCTTATATATGTGCAAACATTATCTTTTGGTAACGCTCCGTTAGTCTGTGTCACTTAGCAACAAAAACTTAAAAATACAGAAAAAGTATCTTAACTGCATAGGGCACATCAGCTTACAGGGGCAAAAACCAACTTAATTATATTGGTCAGCTTATGTTCAGCATCCCACTCACCCCATTTCTTTAACTTTATTATTAAAAAAAGTTTTTGGATGTCCTGTATTATTGAAATTCTCTTTTAATATGAGATGTTAGCTACTCCAACAGTGAAAATTCTGAAATATGTTTTTAAATTGAAATAATCGTATAAACTTTGTATCACCGATTTCCATCGCAAAAAATCTCTTTTAAATGACTGATTAATTACAGTAACAGATGATAAATAATGATAATAGTTTGTATTTTGCTGATCTTTTCTCAGTAATTGTAAATACTGAAATTACAGGAAAGAAAAAACATAATCATAAAAATATAACAAAAATCTACATAAACTGAAGAAAGTGGAATATCGTATAAGTTTGTGACTGAGAGTCCAGTGTCATTCTTGTGAACAACTTAAAATATATTACGAGCTCAACTGTTATTTTCTTAACTAAAACCACGCCCTCTATTCTACAGCTACGGTGGAACAGCCTTAACTTGCTTTAATGTTGCGGTGTGTAATCTTACCAAACACAAGTTTTAAAATTTTCTAGAAAAAAACTACGCAAGAGCTATCGGTGCATTTGTTCCTAATTTTGAACTGATGGAGTAGAGAGACAGCAGCTAGTCAACCGCACCCACCGCCAACTCTTGAGCTACTCCTATCTATATACTACTAAAACTCTGATATTGCTTGTTTGTTTGTCTGTATTTAAATACAGCAAATTAAATGAGAATATAAATAGAATAAAACAAGTTTCGTTAAAATCGGGCCACGGATTACCGATTTACAGCCATTTTTCGGGTCACTTTTATGAAAATGTCTAGCACAAGTAATTTTACATCACACTACCGTTCGCGCTCTTTACAAAACTTCTTCGTTCAAATCTATTTCCCTGTCAATGTTCTCATCTTCATTAAAAGGCGTAAGATGACAAAAACAAGATCTTGAAGAATTTCTCAGTAATGTGCCTTGGTTATGGTGGGTAATTCGAAGAAAAAATAAAGTGTTACTGTTTCTTATTTGTAGAAGAGGAAAGACCACAACATAATGAACTAATTCATCACAATACCTGAAAACTCTGACTTCACTTTTTTGAAAAATGAAATGGTCTTTCCTTTTACTCCCGATCAACAATCAAATATTTTTTCTTGAATTATGAATAGCACGAATGGATTGAAATATTTAATTAAATTATCTCAAAATAAACCTTCCTTTCGGTGCAATATTGAAATTAGCTTGAATTCTTCATAACCCCTGAATAGTGGGTGACCCAACGAATCACGGGTGGTCTAGTATCACCTAATAGTGAGATTTGACCGTCACTTTAAGAGTACACCCACGACTCCAAAGTGCGAAGCTCCCGCTATCTTCAAAGAACACACGTGTATGAATAGCCTCACGAGAAACAGGAAGTAATACAACTTATAGTTTTTAATGGAAAGTTGATTTTTAATAGCACTGTGTAAAATTTAAAAAAAATCGTGAAAATGTACGATTATCAACGCGAGTTTCCGAAATGATCAGTAACACACATAGCATACATCAGTTGAAATAATTATATAACCAAAAGAAGAGAGAGATCTTAAATATATATATATAAAATATATTTATTAATTTTTCTACTCGTAACCCAGTGTCATTACGTTGTTGAAAAACGAATTCAGCGCACGTAGTCTCTTCAATGACTGTATGTTATTACAGATGTGCTAACCACGTCGTGGGGTTTCGGCTTCAGCAAACTTAAAGTTGTGCAAGGCTTTGAGTATAGCCAGAACCATCTTGGAAATGTTACACCTGGGTGACAGCTTTCATTGTATACGAAAACATCAATCTTTCAAGGGTAAACATAATTCTCTTTGGCTAAAACTGTAATAATGGTATCTATAAGATTGGTATCCCATTAGGTAAAGGAAAAAATATTGGCATTTTGGTTAGGAATGAAACAGACTGTTTTATATTGCGGAATGTTACATTATTAACAATTTAATTCACTACAATTAGGGAACATCAGTCAAACCAGTAAGTGCTGATTTTAATGGAATAGTTAGAAAGGAAACCCGTGCATAGAAAGATAATTTGTATATTTAAAAATCATGTGGCTTTTGTTACAAAATATTTTATGGTAAAAGGCACTTGAACCTTGTGTATTTGATGAACAAAACGTTGCCAGTGATTCATTCTTGTTTTTAGTTGACAGTAACTGTTAAAAACTTGAATAAATATTACATCTACACTGAACGTAACAGGAATATAACCAATTTGTTATGAAAATTTTGCTTTAAGTGCAAAGCTGCAGAATGCGGATATATCACCGCAGGTATAGAACCCTGAATTTTGAAATGTTAAGCCTTCAAGCTTATCGTTGATCCCATAGCACACTTCTGCCCAGTATTAAGATCGTTACTTTAGAATATTCCGTTACGCACTTGTACCTAAGAAAGAGAATGTTAGATATACTGGTTTCATACACAACTTACAAATGACAATTCCACATCTTCTCAGTACTCATACTCGAATTATTTTCGTTCAGTAAATGTGCTCACCAGGGGATTTTGCAACAGCCTAGGTCTCATAAGATCCACAATGGATGACATGAAATATAAACTTATACTATAAACCTTTTTTGTTTAATTTTTTTTAGCAAGATTATTTTAGGATCGATTTTTTTATGGAATCTAACACTTACAGCTATGCTGGGGCCATGACTTAAAAACAGTCATTTTTCAATGATTTCCAGTACTGACATTTTGAGTAGTTCACCTGAGTTTACAGGAATTTCCATATATTTATATACATTTTTATGTTAAGAAGATTCAGGACCAGTGTCAATGGTCAGATAAAGCTTAAAAACCAGTACAAAACAACGTGTTTTTTTTTACTCGTACATAAAGTGATAGCTTCTAGAATTTTTAAATTGTTACATCAAGCCAACACATTATCAACTGATACTGTCGTTTTACATTCACCTGATAAACAAAAGTATCTTTTTTCAGGTATTCACTCACTATCACAACGATAGACAAATTTGTAATAAAGCCTTAAAACTGAAACTTCAGTGTGTTTCTGTGAAAAATGTTTGTTTGTTTCTTAGTGAAAAGTTATATAGTTGTGGTGATAAATACTGCCAGTGGTTTTACAAATTTCCAGATGTCTACTTTTCTTAATTTGTTTTTCTTTTGGATATGATAAATGTGTTTATGAGAAGTTCACATAATCAGAATTAAAAAACAAAAATAATACGAATACTACATGAAACATCCAATGATTGGTTTTTATCAAAATACTTTTCAGTACAGAAACAAGTTAATGTCCCTCATCAATTTCTCCATGTTGAGTTGTTTCATCTACTAAAACGAAATCATTAGGGAGAGGGCAAAAGTAGTACCAGTTATGGAGATGATGAAAGAAACTCACCTCAGATGGCTCAGTCTTGAGAAAAGAAGCAAAGGGAAGTATATTAGTAGGAGATTGATAAATATGGCAATGGAAAAGAAAAGAACAAGAGGAAGACTGAAGAAAGGGTGGATGGCTGTAGTGAGAGAAGACATTAGAAAATACAGTGTGAAGGTAGCTCCGACACAGGATAGGAAGAAGTGGACATCAAAGACCAGAAAAGCAGACCCAAAGTAATTGGGACAAATGCTGAGAAGAAATTATTATAAATTTTAAAAAAATGATACTTCTGCATCACATTTTGACATCCGATGTTTTATTTTATAAAGGCAAATAGGAAATGACCTTTAGATTATGTACACTCGAAGCCAAAGTAGAAAACATAATTCATTTGCTATTTTCAAGGGTTCATTTACATTCATCAATAATATGTACACCAATAAACGTCTCCACTGATTCATGGGTTCATTGACATTCATCAATAATATGTACACCAATAAATGTCTCCACTGATTCAGGGGTTGAATAACACAAAAGGAAAGAACTTAAATGTTTAACACAACTGAAAGATGTAAAGGTTCAAACGCAGGGCAACATTGTCATAGAAATATAAGTCTATATCAGAGTCAACTTACAGTTGAGTTTATAAAACAGTACACTTGGGTTTGACAGACTTTTCTCTTATGTTGTTGGTGAACCATTCATTGCACAGTATATCTGAAATGAATAAATCACACAGGAATATTTATACCTCATTTGTTTCTATTATTAGTTCAATTGTTTGTTTTCACCAGCAAAATCACACAAGAAACTGTATTTACCCCATCCCTATTGCCACACACATCATGTTTGATGTATTTGTTTGCGATAAGCACATATGGCAAGAGGTTTTTTTCTCTCCTTTCTAACAGTTTCTTTTTTTCATCTTTCATTCATCATAGTTAAAATCAAAATATTGTTCCCTATCCATCTCCCCAACCACACTGGTTTTGCTGCATTTCTTCATCTGTTGTAAGCACGTAAAACAACAGGTTGCCCCCTTCATCAGTTTCTCCGTGTTGTAGAACAGTTCCATCTTCTAAAACGATTGTACCTAAAAAGAATAATCAGTAAAAGTCTGAAATGTTCATTTCACTGTTCAGAGATATAAACAGAGCTTGTTTCCGGCTTGTTTGCTCAAAATATTGGCAAGAAAATAAAATACAACCATAATTTTTTAAGGTGCTTTATCTCCAAAAGTCTAATTTCTTTATTTTATCACCTTCACATTTTTTTGCTTGTTTATTAGAAGTTATCATGGACAAGTTGTGAATTAATAAGTATATTTCCTTTAAATCAAAATCAACAACAATCATCAGTATGGTGGCTTATGAATTACAGGAACCGAACGTATTTTGATTCACATAAGAGAAAGAACAAAAAAATATGTTCGTTGAAAACTGATACCAATAACAGATAGGACAGATACAAGTCACTATTCACATACAAAAAGAAAACACGCCTTGAGTAACCAGTAACTTCACTGAGTGAGAAACTCCTCAGAATCTTGCTCTTTGAAAATGATAAAAAAAAAGACTGGTAATCCTCATAATTACAAGTCTAAAGGTTTAATTTGTTATATTGTTATAATTTAATGAGTAAAGAGACAAAATTTCAAATCACGACAGCATTGAGGAGAGAATAACATGACAACTAACTACACCTATAGTATTAAAATTGTTATAACACTCGTTGCTTACATCAAATAGTTTTTCATCAAGACAAGTGTTCAAATACTGATCACCATAAAAAAAGACTATTATAAATTTGATACTTTACTTTAATAAGTTGGTACAACTTCTATCTTCATAACTTTTACATATTCTTGTCCATAAGCTAAAAATCTCTAACAAACTCCCTCATGAATATGTAGTTTCAAGATTTCATGTAAGTATTACTCCAAGTACATACTCATTTACAAGTGGTACTAATGAAATTATTTTTCAGGATGGCCACATTCATTCCAAAATTGGTTCCCTGACTTTCCAGAAAAAATTTCAGATCTTCCAGACTTGCACGTATATGTATGACACACTGATATTTGATTTTTCCGTCAAAACCGCACATAACTAACATCACTTTATAATAAAATCTCGAGAACCTACCTACAGCAGATTTTGGTACTAGAGAAAAAAATTCTTCAAACATGTTATTGCTACTTAATGGTAGATAATAAAACATTGCATTATCATTTATAAAAGGGATCAAATATAATGAATTAGACAATTATCACAAGGTAAGATAACATACAGGAATGAACAATATTATGTTAAAATATATCAATAATTAACATAATTAAACAATATGGTTTGTATGAACGTGTAGGTTATGATATAAAGAGGGAAGAAAGAATTTTTCCTGACTTTTTTAAGTTTTGAGAAAATTTAATTATTCAAAACTTTTGGATTCCCATTTGTGTTTTTTACATTTTCATATTTCTCAAGTTTTATGAGCATTAGTTTTTCATAATTTTGAAGAAGTACTCAAATGTTTATCCCATTTACCCCCACCTAAAAAAAATATGAAAGAAACATGTTATATCACTTCAGTATTTAAAATTTGTTTAAAAAAATAGAGAGAAAAAAAAAGTGCCTCACCATTTGTAGCCTCTAAGTTTTGGCCACCTTGTATCGCTTCCTCAAAATTGGAAGTATCAAAAACAATGTGGTGGGTTCCTTCCGCTAAGTCTTCTGTTATGAATATTTGTTGACCATCTACAAGCTGTGCTGCCATCTGCTCCACAGATTCAGATGGTAAAGACTGTTCAATGTCATTACTAACTAGCTCAACTCTACCAGTTTTCAGATTAGGGTTATTATCCACAAGCTCTACAGTTCTCTCTTGAAACTGACTGCTTTCATTTACAGATTCTAGCTGATCAGAAGCTACCTGAATCAAATTCTGATGTCCATGTGCTTCATTAATAATACTGACCAACTGACTTGGATCTGAACCATTACTATGTAAATGAATTTCACGAGACCCATCGGCTTCCTTGAAGACAAGCTTACTAGGCACGTTTTCGATTAAATGGGCTTTGGCTTCTTTCTCTACATCTTTTGGCATCTGGGACTCTGCTTTCTCCAGTTCTATAGCAGCTTCATGCTGTAGTTCACTCGAACTTACAGGAATTCCCATATATTTAGTTACCTGAACTGTCATGGTGTTTTCTTCGTGTTGTTTGTTGTTTTGTGTATCATCCTGTTTTACTGCAACAGCTTCTGTTTCAGATTGAGTGCTAACGCCATCATTTACTGGTGTCACAGGAAGTTCTTCGCCAGAAAATTTTTCACCTTCTGTTACCTGATATGCTTCTCCTTCAATATCATTTTGGTACTGCCCTTCTTCAGAATTACTTCGTTCAACTGTTGCAATGATAACATGTTGGTTCTCTTCCGTTCCATCAGTGGGGGAAAAAATTGGCACGGAGATTTCGTAAGTGTTCGGAGCAGCACCTGGTTTAATTTGAGCTCGTCCAGATGAGATGGCTTCTTGCAGTTCTTTACTTGCAACTCCTGCCACTGCAAGAAGTAACTCATCACCTGTAATGTTAAGAAAAAAACTTATGATCTACAAAAGAAGAGATTAACTTGTCTCAAAATATTTAACTTAGCATAAAGTCTATTTTATCTCCTCAACTAGTTTTAAAATAAGGTGTACACCACAGCAGAGAATAAATGTTTAGAATAAGCTATCAATTACAACAACACTCCTGACAAATGCATAAAAAAAAACATTACGAACTATTACAAGTTACATGCAGAAATAACAAACTTTTACAAATTTCTAACAAACCTTGAGTGGCAGAGAGGGTTGGTGTTTCTGCTGCACCTTCTACATTTATATCCAACGAACCTTGTGACACCAACATAGAGTTTGTGAAGTTACTATCCTCAAACTCATGTGCATATTCTGGATGTTTGTTGTGAAGATGTCGCTTCAAGGAGTGTCGAAGTTTAACACATATTCCACAGTATTTACACATGTATGATTGGTTGCTGTGAAAGAACTTTATATGGTTGCTTAGCTGGTGTTTCTACAATAAGAATAAAAAGTGACAAAAGATTTTTCAAACACCAAAATCTCTCATGAGTAATATATGAAAATTTCAAAACACAGTTCCTATAAACCTTGCAAATAAGCTCTATAAACCTCTGGCTTATCACACAGCAGCAACAAAGTTACTTAGAAAATTTAAAGCTCAAGTGACTGGCCTTAAAAAGTATCATGGTTTAACATAAATATATATTTATATATATATATATAAACATCATTTATTTTTCTCAGAACAGTATATTAAAATTGCCTTGTATTGTTGAAACTAAAGTAAGGTTTTATAAAACATTTTCATCAATAAAACTTAATGACTTAATGTAATAAATGTATAAATTATGATCTTCTGAATTATTCATAAAATAAGTGCAAGTCTTATTACTAAATGAACTATATAATAAATAAATGGGCCTTGAAAGTTTGTGACATGAGTATATCTATACTGGATATAGATTTAAACTATACATGTGTGATGTCATGTTGCATTATCATCTTGAAAGAAACCTTTCCCCATCAGGGTGAAAATGCAGTAAATTGAGTTGGATATAACTGGCTGGCAACAATATCCAAGTACACTCTGGATATTGTTCTCTCTTCTAAAAAAACCAAAACACCAAAAAGTTTTGACACAAAAAATGATCTTGACACCATCACACCACCTCCAGCAGCTTGAAATGTTGAAGCAACACAAACAGGATGAAGTGCCTTATGTGGTTTCCTTCATATTTACACAGAAAACAGTAAAAAAATGCCTCATCAGTCATTCAGTGTCAAAAGAAACCATGTTTTCCCATGCACATCTGAGATAGAGAAATTTTGGGTTGGTTATGGGCTACTATATGACAGTTCTATAACATCCTTAACATTGTATGATTATAATTTGTCAAATCTTGACCACTTTTGAAGAAATCAGTTAACTGAGACAGAGTTTGACATATGGTTTCATTTTACAATTTGTCTAATTTTCTTTTCTTTTGTACATTCCCAGTGATTGGTGGTCAGTTTTTTTCCTAGTGGAAGACATATTCCGTTTTGATTTATGAGCACCTACAATCATGTTCCTTGCTCAGAGAGATCCTTGATCTTTTTCAGTGTATTGCAAACTTACGAACACATCACATAATCAGTCTGTTCTGAACACACAAATAAAAATTGTGTTCTACAGATTTGTGTGTAGAGATCTTAATAAAGCTGCCAGTTAGAGCAGTCTAAAAATAACAGCTTCAATCACTGACTAGATCACTTAAACAACAGTTTTCACAACAAATTCTATTATGTGATCTAAAGGAGTTTCATGCTCCAGTAAAGTGTATTGGAAACATTAAATTAGAGCTTTTTTAGTTGATATACCATAATGTAGTTTTTAACTGGAGAATGGCCAAAACACAACTTCATTCAAACCATAACTATACGAGTTGATCTGAGAAAGACATTGCAAGCTAGCTTAAAGTACAAATTGATTATTCATAACACATACATATGTGCATAAATTATTAATAAATGCATATATAAAGCTTTCATTGAAATATCAAATATCAGTAAATTACCCTCAAAAATTCACAGACAAACAATGACCCAAAAAACTTTATACATACTGATTTGAATGATCATTTTTGTCAATTTTCATATAACTCTACACAGCCAAACCTAAGAGTCCCCCAAACCTATTTGATCTCCATATGAGGCCTTTAGCTTTGGAAATTCCCAAAATATGCATTTAAACTTTTGTTTTTAATGGCTTCTTAGATGTTAATACAGATTTTCAAGGAAAATATGAGTTACTGCCACAAAATATCTTTTACACATGACACATAACTCTTTCCCTAATGTTTTCCTTGCTTATATCCTGTAAATATCAAGAACCTATCTGGAAAACTTAAAGTCATTTTGTTAAAAACTGTGGGAGGGCTTATAAAATCAAGTAAACATAGCAACAATGGAGAACTACTTTACGGATTAATAAAATTACTTTAAAAACGTCTTTTATCAGATTTGCATAGATAGAAACACCAGGGGACTAATTAGTTGAACTTCACAATTTCTGACTGATGCTTTAAACTTGGTATTTTGAGTTGCACTAGATTGTTGTTGTTTTTTATGTATATTAAGTCACGATGATTGAACACAAATTTCCTGTTATTCCACATCTTTTCAAATAAATCACTATTGTTATTTATTCAAATAACAACAATTAATAATTTGTATTATTGATCTCAGCAAGATCAAAATTTTAACACTGTACTCTTCCATAACTTGTTTTATTGATCTCAGCAAGATCAAATTTTAACAGTTCTCTTCTATAATAATGTTTTATTGATCTCAGCAGGATCAAAATTTTAACACTGTTCTCTTCTATAATAATTTGTTTCATTGATCTCAGCAAGATCAAAATAGAACACCGTTCTATTCCATAGTTTTTACACACTTGAAAAAAATCCATAAACCTATAAAAACATTCTTACATACCTTTACAAAAGCCTTCCCACACATTTCACATGTAAAGATACGCCCTCTGGTGTGTTCCAATGTGTGTATGTTGAAATATTCTTTTGTATTGAAGGATTTGAAGCAAAATGTACAGGAGTATTTTTTATCTTTATTATGTGTCTCTTGATGTTTTAATAAATTTCCCTTCTGGAAGAATTCCTAAAGGTAAAACAATAAAGAAATCTAAATATTTTTACCACATTTAGATCAGTTTGAATTTTCTTATCAAATCCTATTTGCTTAAGAAATAATTCATAAATGAACTGGAAAATTTTTAACATTCTTTACATGAGTAGCTTATAACCATAGAGAAAAGTTTAAAATATTCCATTTACCACTGATATGCTGTATTACATCTTTATCAAGGGTTTATATTGCTAAGATAGTTTTACACATGCTACATTTGCAGCAGAAACCACTGAAAATGTTGTAATATTTGAAAAAAAACTTTTATCTATAAAACTTTAGTACAGAATAAAGGATTAACAGACAAACAAGTCTTAGTATATTAAACATGAAAGAAAGTAACTTGATATTGAATAGACACTCAACAAAATAAATGATTATAGAAACTTTAACACTAAAAGATTGGCATGACATACATATCCATCACTAAAACAAACCTTGATAGAGACTGAATACCAAAGGGATAAAGAAAACCTTAATCATTTAATTAACAGCCATAAATACTTTGATACAGAATGAAAACTATACAAATAGAAAACCTTGACACAGATCAACACAATAAACTTGATACAAATTGCATAATATCAACAGATATTCACAGGTACACAGTAAACACAGACAGACAGCCACTGCTACAGAGTTAACAATGAGCAAAAAGACAGACACTGGTAGGAATCAACAGTTAAACAGTAATACAGATTTAACAGCAAATATACATATGCTGGTAAAGAGGTATTAGCAAAGAGACAAGACATTGGCACAGCAGTAATATTAATCAGACAGACACTGGTACAGAGTCAACAAAGAACAAACAGACAAGACACTGGTACAGAGTTAACAATGAACAAACAGACAGACAGCTACAGAGTTAAAAGCAAACAAACAGACACTGGTACAGAGTTAACAGCAAACAGACAGACACTGGTACAGAGTAAACAGACAGACAGCTATAGAGTTAACAGCAGACAGACAGCTACAGAGTAGACAGACAGACTGCTACAGAGTTAACAGTAAACAGACAAACACTGATACAAAGGTATTAGTAAAGAGACAGTTACTGGTGTAATAGTAAAAGTAAACAAATAAACAAACCTTGTTACACACAGAACACCTAAATCTCTTTAGGCCTTCATGGATCAGCATGTGGACATCTAGTGACTTCTTAGTTTTATAAAATTTCCCACATGTGGGACATGGGAATGAAGGTTCTGAATGAACAGCATGATGCTCAAGAAGCAAATCCTTACGATGAAATCGCTTTCCACACACTTCACATGAAAATCTTTTCTCTCCATGAAGATTTCTAAAAGTAGGAATCAAGTAAATAATTAATTATGGATATTTTTTAAATTACTGGCAGATAAAAATTTGGAAATAGGATATTTATTTATGGACACTTAAATTGTTGTTAAACAAAAATATGAAGATAGTTTATGTAAAATCGTGAACAATCAGACTACTGGTTGAGAAGAACACATGGAGAGGAATTTACTTGTGAACGAATTACTGACTGATGAGAACAAGGAGAGAGCATATTTGTGAACATTCAGATTACTGGGTGATGAAAATATGGGGCCAAGCCACTTATAAGGAATCAGACTACTTATTCATGAAAACAACGAAACAGATTTCTTACTTGTGGTGAATCATATTACCTACTGATGGAAACATGGGTACAAATTATTTGTGGATAATCAGATTCTTTTAAATCATATTAAATACTGATGGAAACATGGGTACAGATTATTTGTGGATAATCAGATTATTTTAAATCATATTACCTACTGATGTAAACATGGGTACAGATTACATGGGTCTGTGAATTTAAACTTCATAAAAGTTGTTTTGGTTTTAATAACAGATTTTTCATAAATCAGCTACACAGATTTCGAAAATCATATTCATTTTTTTCTACCACGTAAGGATTTGTTCATAAATTGGGAAGAAAAAACTCTTATTTAGATCAAATTATTATTTTGTTTACCACAATGAACATTTTTTATTATTATGTTTGGGTTCTAGAACTATCGATAAGACTCTCACATCACGATTGTTCTAAAGAAATCTATAGCCAGTGGTTGTCAACATTTTAAGCATAACAAATTGTGACCCGATTTCAATGAAAATGATTCACTTATGTAAAAGTACATATAATGTTTTGTGAAAAACGTGATGGAGAAAAATGGATATCATTTTCGAATTCAGTGTACAGGAATTACTGTAGACCATGTAAACATTTCAAGACATTAAAACCATCACAGGCCTGTGTTATTTGTGGATAATCAGATTCTTGTATGGCTTTACTTACTTGTGAACATTCAAGCTACTTGTTGATGAAAACATGGAGCCACAAACTTCACAGACAAGAGGTGCCATGCTGATTTTTTTCTTCTTCCTTTTTCTGCTACTTTTTCGTAGCATACATGGATGCCTTTGTAAAGAATCTTTTCGATAGTACAACCTTCCACATTCATTACACTGTCATAAAAATGTAAATAAGGAATATGTAGAGCTTTGTTAAACAACTGTGAGCAACACTGTATATTAATATTCATATTTCATATGAGCTTTGATTTAATAAATAACAATAACATTTGTAAAAGAAACTACTGAGACTTAGTTGAGAAGTTACATTACAAAGAATAATATGCTAATTGTTTGATTTTTGTTTTGTTTTTTGAATTTTGCACAAACCTACACAAGGGCTATCTGTGCTAGCTGTCCCTAATTTAGCAGTGTAAGACTAGAGGGAAGGCAGCTAGTAATCACCACCCACTGCTAACTCTTGGGCTACTCTTTTATCAACAAATAGTGGGATTGACCATCACATTATAACGCCCCCACGGCTGAAAGGGTGAGCATGTTTGGTGTGACGGGGATTCGAACCCGCTACCCTCAGATTGCGAGTCAAGAGCCCTAACCACTGGGCCTGTGCTAATTGTAAAAGTGACCTTAATAATTCAATAATACAAGATTGTTTTTATCTTTTTACAAGCCACTTTTAAAATTTTTAACTTATTCACAATGAGTGAAAATAGGCTGATGAGACTCAAAATGGAAGGTTTTTTGGTTGCTTTAAACTTACCTTAAAGGTTGGCTCACCATGGATAGCTCTATGTCGCTGTAAACTGGCAGGATTGGGACAGACCTTATCACAAATCTCGCATGAAACAGCTTGAGACTGGCAGACGTGAAGTCCAAGAGAAACCATGTTACGAAACCTAGCTCCACATTCTTCACAAGCATATCTGTGTGTATGTTCGTACTGGTGTCTCCTAAATTCTGCCACGTCTGTAAATTCCTTTAAAAAACGTGTACACTTTCAATACTTCATATTCAATAGAAAAGTATTGTACTTACTTAATATACCATTCTATTTTTACAAATATACATGTTACCTATAAAAATAGAATAATAACAAATCAGTATGCATTCTGATTAAGAAGTTAGCACACAGGATAACGTACAAAAGTTGTAATGGTTTTCAAACGAGACCCAAAACTCAAGCGTTTTCTAATATTTCACTAGTGAACTAATTGAAAGTGCTCGAGTTTTGGGTCTCATTTGAAAACCATTACAAGATCAGTATATATATTATCCTTATGGCTGTTTAAGTAATATTATGAACTAGGCCTACACAATCACTCAGATGAAAGAATTCTACACCTAGAAGTTGCACTAAGTTTGCAAAAATGCTTGCTGTGAATACATCAGTAACATCTGATTAGTGGCAACAGATGAGAAAAAAGAAAATGGTGGTTACAAGATGCCCTCTCATTTTCATTCAATTGACCTAGTCACAGTTTTGGCCAGCCAATGGCTGGTCTCATCAATACTCAACTGAATGTCATCAGAAACATGAAAAATATCCAACAGAAAAAGGAAAGACCATCAAAGGGCATTGTCTGAAGAACTTTTGCCATTATGTCAAGCTGAGACATAAATGTCAAAAATAAATAAATAACCATACACATAATTGGAAGTTTATAACAAACATACATTATAAATTTACAACAGCCTAATATCTCACATGTTATTTTGGTAGTTTAATATTCATTTCATCTATTCTACCTTTTCTACAACTATATGAAAATTTAAAAATATATTCCAGTGGTAGTAGTGTAACAACTTGCTCGGCCTACCAAAGTCTAACCAACCACAAAGCTGCTCACAGAAACATAACTTCTTTTACCATTTAGCAACTGAAAATCTTAATGGACTGCTGGAGGTGCTTCAAAAGAAAATGCTAATAACAATTGGCCTTTCAGACAAGGAACACTGGAGACAACACTTCCACATCTGTGCCCCTAGTTAAACAGTCTTAAGCCATGATTCATAGAAAGGAAGGCCACCAGAAAGGCCAGGGAATAAGAAAATTAACCAGGATCACAAAAGAGCTCAAGACCATGCTTCTTTTTTTCCATTTTCATTTGTACTTTAAGGTCTACGTTCATTATTACTTTGGGTGAGAATTACATTACTTTCTCATTCTCCCCACCCACCCACTCTCTCCCAAATAGCAACCTTGGAGTCCTCTGGTAACTTGCCCTCCCAAACTTAAAATCCTGGTTATGCCACTGTCTGTGAAATCAGCTTCAAACCAAGTTTAGGAAATTCTCTCCGCAGCAAAAGATAGGGTCAGTCTAGTCTTGTTTTAAAAAGCAACACTGTTAAAAGAGTTTGCAGAGCTAATAAAAAATATCCCAGTTCTGTGCAATGCAATTCTGTACCAGTCCAAACTGAAGTGACCAGCAATAGTTGTTGAACAATTTAGTCCTGCTTCTACATGTAACCCGTCCAAGCATCAAATATAAATATATTCACCTCATACTTCTAACACACCAAAACTTACTTTCACCTATATTTCTATTTATGTTATTTACCTGTTAATTAAATCTTTCAAGTCTCTTGTTATTGATAATACCACAACAGTAGCCTAGTTCATCAACAAAATATGCATTCAAATCCTTAAAGTCTCCTGTTATTACTAATACCACAACAGTATCCTAGCTGATGTCAACAACAGTGTATTACCATATACAATATTCATAATAGGGCATCACCACATACACACGCATATTACTGTTGGTATCAGTCAAATACTACATGCATTGCTCTTAACAGCATCCTAATACCATGACTGTTAGCAAAAGCCTGCTAGTATGAATGTAACAATTAGCAGCAGCTTAACATCACACATCTCTCTGTATATAAAACAGCAATACATACAAACCAATATTAGCAGCAATCTAATACCTGTGTTTATTGTTTGTTGGGTCCAGATAACACACATTATTGTTCACAGCAGTTCTCACATTTATTATTTGCTACAGTCTGTTAAGAAACATATTGTTAGCAGCAGTTCTCACATTTATTATTTGCTACAGCCTGTTAAGAAACATTGTTAGCAGCAGTTCTCACATTTATCATTTGCTACAGTCTGTTACGGAACATATTATTGTTAGCAGCAGTTCTCACATTTATTATTTGCTACAGGCTGTTAAGAAACATATTGTTAGCAGCAGTTCTCACATTTATTATTTGCTACAGTCTGTTAAGAAACATATTGTTAGCAGCAGTTCTCACATTTATTATTTACTACAGTCTGTTAAGAAACATATTGTTAGCAGCAGTTCTCACATTTATTATTTGCTACAGCCTGTTAAGAAATGTATTACTATTAACAGCAGTTCTCACATTTATTATTTGCTACAGCCTGTTAAGAAATGTATTACTATTAACAGCAGTTCTCATACCAAACACATTTACTACTTGTTAAAGCGTGGTAACAAACATATTACTATTAGCAGAAGTTTTTATACCATACACATTAACTATATGGTAAAGCCTGGTAACAAGCATATTACTGTTAGCAGCAGTTCTTATACCACACACATTTACTGTTTGCTACAGGCTATTAAGAAACATTACTGTTGACAGCACATTTATACCAAACACTGTTCACAAGTGCCTGGAAACAAAACCATTTTCTGTTAGAATCAATTTTTATACAGCACACATTTACTGTATTCTACAGCCTAATGGATAGCAGCAGTTAGTGAAAAACCACAGTAAACACAACAAACTGTCAAACTTCTTATATTAGAGAAACTAGTTTCGACATATCGTGCATCCTCTTCAGTCTCATGTTATCTAATATCAGACTTCTGAGACAGTTTGTTCCATTTACTGTGGTTTTTCACTAATTGCTATAAATGATATTGTGCTATTTTATCATTATTAGCAGCAGTTTTACATAAAATGTTACTTCTTATAGCAAACTGTTAACCTGCTTTTCCTTTATATCTTATTCTAAGTTATGGCTTATAGTAAACAGTTGAAAAACAAACATCATATTTCAAGTAACAAGTTATATTCTAAATACCTGGTTACAAGTCTGTACAATGTTTACCTGGTGACACTCCTGACACATAACTTGTCCACTGTTTTCTATTTCCTTGACCTGACTACACATCCTTAAATGACTGGTCAGTGAATCAATTGACCTTAGCCACTTTCCACAAATGTTGCAGGCATGCTGTCCAGTATGGATGGGTAAGTGCTTCAAAAGGTATATCCTTCGGCTAAATGTCTTACCACATACTCCACATACAAAGTGTTCTAAAGACAGGTTCATTGAGCATGCATGATTCTGCAGAATTTCCTACAATTAACAGAATTAATACAATAAATTTATTTAGAAATTCATGCACAAGAAGGTGTCAGTCTCTAATGTACTAGAGTGAGCATGACATGGTAAGCCATATTTTTTAGGCATACAAAGAATATAGTAAATAAATAAAAGGAACTACCAAATCTTTACACCAAAATAATGTACATTGCACCAAATGGTATATAAATAAATATTCAAGTGTTTACTATAAACTCAATCCACAATGTATACTGATGCCCAAAATGAAACATGCTGAGCATCTAGTTTCTTTATCGACTCACATGATTTGAACTTGGGATTTTACTCTTCAAATGATCAAAACATCTGCTTTTTCATAATTTCAAATGCAAATAATATTTTGTACATGCCCAGAGAGCTACTGATGTAAACCTTAGACTGTTGTGTTTTCACTGTGCAACAACACAGAACATAATAGTTTATTAAACACTACTGATGTAAACCTTAGACTGTTGTGTTTTCACTGTGCAACAACACAGAATATAAGAGTTTATTAATCACTAGAACCAAAGGAAAAGAAAAATTATATGAGGTTACCGAAAATGAATCTTACACATTTTATATATTTTTTGCATAAAATGAATAAATCTGCTACCAATATACCTGCTTTAAAAGATCTAAAGATTTGCCAACAGTTATAGAAAAAGCCACACTGGGACAACAGTAAATGTACAAACGTAGATTTCACCTTACCCTTGAAGAGTAATTTTTCCCACAGTCTTCACATCTGTATTCTCCAGTGTGCCTAGCCATGTGGCGACGGAGAAAGTGTTTGGAGCCAAAGGACTTGTTGCATTTCTCACAATTAAATTCAAACTTCTGGTCCTGAAAAGAATCGGCATCAATCAAGACTGGACAGTTGTGCTTTATCATGTTTTCTTTTCTAGCAAACACTTTGTAACAGCGATGACAGGTAAATTCTCCAGTGTGTTTTTTCAAGTGACGATAAAGATAAATAGTCTTATTAAATCTTTTCCCACATAGATCACATTTATATTTCCCCTCTCTTCTACGGACATGTAGTCGTACCAACTCTTCTTCAATATTTCTATAATCTTTAACAGTTTCATCAATTCCTGTCACAGAATTGTTTGGATAATGATTTTTGTTTTGGCTTTCTGATATTTTGGCACCAAGTGTTGCATTCTTTGGCTTTTCAACTCTGAAGATATGCGCCTCTGACTTCTCTGTACTCTCAACCAAGTTTTGATTTTGAGTATCACTGAATTCTTTATTGTTGGACTGAGATGTTCTATTTGAAACATTACCTATGCTACTAATCAGTTCATTTTCCAAATGGCTGACATCATATGTCATGTTAGAAAACTGTTGGTTTTCTAACTGACTGGTACTACTTGACTTTGTATCTGACTGATAAATTTCACCAGCAGACTTGTTCCCTGGTTGAATTACACTTCCACACAGTTTGGTGTCATTGTCTCTTTGTTGAACACTATTTGTTAAACTATTTAACTGTTGGTTATTACTGCCTGGCTGATTCTCAGATTGGGCCGCACCGTCTGAAATACTACCCGATCGTTGAAGATCACTGATCGACCGATTCTCTGAAAGTGAGACATCACCTACCACTTCCTCTGTCTTTCTATCTTTCTCTGAAGCTTTTATTTCTGTATTATTCATACTTTTACTAATTTCTATCACATCTGAAGAATTACACATATCAGTAGTTCTTTCACAGGATTTGTCAATGTGTATTACAGGCATACTTGGTAGTGGTCCACACACATTAGAGGCCTCATGTAGTAAGTGCTGACCAGTGGCCATTGCAGTCAAAATCTGGCTAACCTCACTAACATCCATACTAGTAGGATCTTTAGTTTTTGGAAGGGTAAGAGGTGAAGCAGATTTTCTATGCTCAACTTTATATTCTATGAATGATAGGAGTATCTATAACAATAAAACACAAATCTTTAATTAGTATTTATATCCTATGAATGATACGAGTATCTATAACAATGAATCACAAATATTTAATTAGTATTTATATTCTATGAATGATGGGAGTATCTATAACAATAAAACACAAATCTTTAATTAGTATTTATATCCTATGAATGATACGAGTATCTATAACAATGAATCACAAATATTTAATTAGTATTTATATTCTATGAATGATAGGAGTATCTATAACAATAAAACACAAATCTTTAATTAGTATTTTTTGGGTGAGAGAACATTCAATAACGAATGTAGTAATATAAAATTACATGTATAAGTTACTCTGTTTATTTCAATAACAGTGTATTCTAATAAACTGACATCAACATACAAAACTTGTACTATAAACTGATTGATTGACGAAATATGATAAAAAATTAAGTGGACCAATGTATACACTTCTTTTTCCTTAGATTTTACTACTTCTGCTGAACTGATGAAAAATAATATTCACCTTATACTACAATTGTTACTTATATACTACAGTTGTTACTTATCGACATTAGCTATATTTCCCAAGCAACTCATTAAAAAAACTCACTTTTCCATTAATAATGAGTTAATATTATTTGTGCATGCTCATCATAACCAGATATAAATTTCCATTGTTTGCTTTCCTTCCAATCAATACCTGCTAATTTTTACATATTACAATGTCATGGTCTCTTTAAATTTTCTTCCTTTACTGGTGGCCCATAAATTCTTCATAACCCAAAAAATACAGATCTGAACTGAAATAATTTACCTCAATTAAAATGCAATACAAAAGATCACAAAATAGAGAGTCTGAACACAAAAGGCAATCTTCTAGTTTCTGCACAAACAAGAAGTTTATGAAACTAAAGGTCTCATAGAAATTCACACGTTACTTTACCTTTATTCAATAACACTTAAACACAGGTATCATTAAGTTTGATGAGCAATGTAAACTAGCTGCTAATTGTCATCCGTTAAACCTAAAACACTTGCTTCTAATGAGTATAATGATAAAGTTTAGCTTGTAGTTCCATTTCCTGACAGCAGTACAGAAGTTGTTATATTAGAATATATAAAGTCTCTTCTTTTCTCTGTATTCTGTTTTAGATCTTATCTCTGGATACTTTCTCCTAGTGCATCACTCCAAATCTGCTAGATAAAGTAGCTACTAATGACTGTTAGTTATTAGGGATTTCAGCTGGAAGATTACTTAATGTAGAGAAAGCTGGTTTTTTTAAATGGGTAGTGAGATGAATGGCTTTATTGTTCACTATTCAACCAGTTTACTTTGGAAATGATTTTGAATTGAACCTGGTATGATTCCTGAGGTACCTTCTTATCGCAGTCCATTAGTTTCTCAACCGGACAATGTTGAATTGACCAGTTAAATTCTAGAAATTGATCTGGAAGTTTCATGGCTGAGTAGTCAAGGAAAAACCTTCTAGCAGATGTTATGGTGAAAAATGCAGGTGTTTTTTTAGAAGTAATGCATAACCCAAAGTGCCTACTGCCAAACATCCAAACATACACACAGTGGTATGTGGGACACTAGATATCTCTAAAGCTAATAACATAAAGTCACTGTAAAAACATAACACTGAAATAGAAACAAATTTATTTTATCTAATGATATTTTGATTAACTGCTCTTTATTAGGCCTAATATAGCATAATACCTCTTAAAATACAGCAAAATTCTAGTAAAGACTTTGGAATGGATAAGCCACTTGTGTGTTTTTAAGCTGATTTTACTTTATTGCAGTTAACCCTCATTGTTGTGTAGAGTCCAATTCTTCTGAAAACTTTATCATGAAGCCACATTAAGTTTGTGTAGTGTTGAATGTTTGAAAATAATGAAGGATTTATTCACTTATCAGTCACCTGTTGCAAAAATACTGTGTACACTTTGAGACATGTTATTCCAATAGGCCTAAGATTTGTGATAAACACCACATCAACTGCAGATGTTTTTTTTTTGTTATTTCAAATAATCAGGTATTGTTTAACATGTTCATAAGCATGTTTACAACAATGATAGAGCCTATGTGTTGTATCTGTATCTATAAAGCTAATCATTCATGATGTTAGAAAAACACGTAGGTTCAAGAAGTCTTGATAGAAATGAATAAAAACCATATAACCCGAATGCTTTAGAAAGGTCCACCTTTCGAAAGTGCTCGGGTTATAGGGTTTTTATTCATTTCTACAAAGCTAATCAAATAATTTGTAACCCACCAAGGGATTCTTGCTTTAATTTCATTTAAATGTGAATGTATTTATCCAAAAAGGAACTTACTAACTGAAGTACCATTTTAATATATATATATAAGATATTACAAAGGCTAATAAAACTTTACATTTTAATATGGTACTTCAGCTATAAGTTGTTTTTTTCACACTGAACAAAGGAAACCAAATAAATATAACTCAATTGATCTATTAAATGCATTTAGTCAAAGTAAAAACCTAATATTTTGGATATTCTACATGTAGCTTAAATTCAAAGTCAAACATCATAAAAATTAGAATTAAGTTGTTTATTTCATGAAATAAAACTTTTGATAATTAAAACTTTATTTTACAAAGTTTGAAAACTTTTAGGTAATGAATAAGAATCAAACTATAAATTTTGTTTCTTTAAGGCTAAGCTATGTAGGGTTAATTGCCACTGTACTTAATTCTGAAAAGCCAACCAACTATGGGTGGGATTGACCACCATATAATAATGTCCACATGGCTGAAGATTTAAGACTCAACAGCTTGAAGTTTTGTATTGAAAGAATGAGATGATGTCGTAATACTTGAAAATGGCTAAGAAAGCCATTAGGGGAACATTCTGAGCTTTTGATTGGTTATTCACATGTCATAGACAGAAGTGTATATAAGGGTCTGTTTCCTAAAATGGATATAGGTAAGTGGGGCCACTGTGTTTGATTCAATACCTGAGCAATATCTCGGCAAATAAAAAGGATATGAGGTTCTTATTTTATATTCTAGCTTGTCAATATTGGTAATTTGAGTTCCTAATTCGTACGAAAC